TCTCACTCTTCCTTCATTTACTGTACCTTTCTCTTTCTCTCCTCTCATCTCCTATTTCATACTCTCTTTTCATCCCCCTCTTACTCCGTCCACCTCACCTCCCCCCCCCCTCTCTCTTTCTTTCTCCTCCCAACTTCATCCAAAAAGTTTCACTCACCCTAACTCTTTTTCTCTTCTCTTTCTCTCTCTTTCCATTCTCATCTTTCCCTCTCTCTCCTCTTCCTATTCTCTCTCTTTCTCCATCCTTTCTTCCACTCATTTTCAACTCCTTTCCCTCGGCCCAAACCCTCTCATCTCCCTCCCTCCCACTCCCTTTTCATTTTCAGCTTAACCCCCTCTGCCTTCCCTCTATAAATCCCACACAACTTCCCTCCTTCCTTTCCTCTCCCCTCTCATTTCCAACTCCTGCCCTCTCCTTTCCCTCTACAAACCCCTCTCACCTCTCCCTCTCACACTCCACATCCCTCTCACTTCTCCTTTCCCTCTCCCCCCTCCCTCCCTCTCCTCTCCCTCCCTACCCTCCATCCCCTTCCCTCCCTCCCTCTCCTTTCCCTCCACATCCGTCTCATCTCCCTCCCTCCCTCTCCCTTCCCTACCCTCCCATCCCTTTCCCTCTCCCCTCTCATTTCCCTCCACATCCCGTCTCATCTCCCTCCCTCCCTCTCCCTTCCCTACCCTCCCCATCCCTTTCCCTCCTTCCCTCTCCTTTCCCTCCACATCCCCTCTCATCTCCCTCCTCCCTCCCTCCTTCCGTCCCTCTCATCTCCCGTGCCTTCCAGCCCCTGTAAGTTCGTCCCCGAGAAGATGATCTGTGACTGCGGCGACACCGAGGTACCTCTGTTACCAATTCTGCTCGGCTGTGGACTCGGGATCCTCATCTGTGGCTTCTGGCTTCGGATGATCATGCTGACGATTTCATGGTAGGTCTGATGCGGAGTTCTGTTTTCCCTCTCTCTCTCTTCCTCTTCTCTCTCTCTCTCTCTCTCTCTCTCTCTCTCTCTCTCTCTCTCTCTCTCTCTCTCTCTCTCTCTGTCAGGCTCTTTTGCTCTTTTTTTGGGGGTGGGATGGGGGGGCGGTTTTCTGACTGTGACATCTCTCTCTCATCTCTCTCTCTCTGTCTCTCTCTCTCTCTCTCTTCTCTTCTTCTCTCTCTCTCTCTCTCTCTTCTCTCTCTCTCTCTCTCTTTCTTCTCTCTGTCAGGCTCTTTTGCTCTTTTTTGGGTGGGTGGGTGTGATAGGAGAGGGCGGTTTCTGACTGTGTCTCTCTCTCTCTCTGTTCTCTTTCTCTCTCTCTCTCTTCTCTCTCTCTCTTCTCTCTCTTTCTTCTCCTCTCTCTCTCTCTCTCTCCCCTTTATTTCTCTCCTTTTCTTCTCCTTACCGCATTTCTCTCTCCGTCTCTCTCTAAACCAAAAGTAAATAGATAGATAATTCCTTTCTCCCTTACCACCAGCCACGAGTCTTCCCTCAAAAACCTATCCCCAGCTAGTGGTGTCAGGCAGGTGCCCCGAGTGACACCAAAAGAGGCTGCCAACGTCCCCAATCCGCCGTCCTTCCCGCCGCCCACGAACGGAAACTTACAGAACGGCGGCCCAGATGCCTATGGGTGAGTGCTGTTCGTAAATGGTGAGAGATTCCTGTGTCATTTGGGTGATCAGAAATGCTTTTCGTTTGGATGTGTTTGTTGGGTCGATTCACCGTATGGCGTTGGTTGTAAGTGTGGTTGTATGGTCGTCTAGTTTTGTATTGGTTTGTTTTTCTATGTGGTTGGTTATTTTTCCTGTTATTTGTTTGTTTTTTTTTGTTTATATTACCGAAAGTAGCACCACTCTGTATAGAAATCCTAGCTGGCAACTGACGAGCTAAGCACCGCCCCTTTAACCATCTTTTATTGCAAATACTAGTAGGCTTCTTTACTTTTCTGCCTTTCGATTTTTTATCATCTTTATTGACCGTTTTCAAGGAAAATATACTAAAAAAACATATCTCACACATAAATAGGAGTAAATCATATTTAGTGAATCCCTCCCTCATTGTCTTCATTCACCAAAAGCACAGAGCATCTCACAAACAATAACAAGCAAACAAACAAAAAGAAAAAAAAAGAGTCCTCGCTCAACCTCCTTACATTTCCCGTTTTCTTTCACCAGGTACTCGGCTCCTCCCCCTTTCCCGCCTCCGCAGTTCGGCATGGACCCCGGCAACAAAATCTTTCCTCCCCCTCCTCCGCCCTATTCGTCCTCGTCTCTCCCTGCCTATCCTACCTACCCCACTCCCTATGCCACTTTGCCCAACGCTGCTTATTCTCCACCCAAGGAAGAGAAATAAAAAAAAAAGAACTTGGTAGCCATTCGCCGTGAATACAGAGACGCCGAGGATGTTCGTAACGCTGGATTCTTCCTCGCCTTCGTTCGAAAGTGTTGAGCGCGGCTTTGAAGAGCTTTAAACGAATATACATAAACAAAACGAGCATACCGTATTATCAGGGATGAACAATTAAACAATTATACCTATAAAGGTAAATTTAAAAAATGAGAGGTTAATACAGAATGTAAACAGATTCGTAAAATACCATGATATATTGTATTTTTATTAGATAGAATATGTACGTCAGAATCACGGCATTTATTGCCATTATCTTCACTAACTTGTAAAATCCATTTATATTTTATAAATTACTGTATTCACTCATGTAGCGATGACACTGATGTCTATATACCGGTAGTATGTTAAAAGATGTATTTTCGTAGCACTCTTTTTAAACGGATGTAAATAAAAAATTATTCTCAAATTCTCCTTATTAACCTATGAAAAAAAATGTGTACTCAGAAATTTAAGTATGTAAAAGAAAAGATAAGGATGCGTTACTTTTAGAATTCACTTGGTTTCTCTAAGGAAAAGCAAAAAAAATATATATATATTTGGTACCTGTTAATGATTCCAGTTTTAGCGTATCTGTCTCCTCCACCTCTTATCTCTGTCACACACACACTCTCTCTTACTCTTGCTTTCTCTCTCTCTCACATACATTCTCTCATTCTTGCTCTTTCTCTCACACATGAACATTCTTGTACTCTCACTTACCCACTTACTCTTACTCTTACTCTCTCTCTCTCTCTCTCTTCTCTTCTCTCTCTTCTTCTCTCTCTCTCTCTCTTCTCTCTCTCTCTTCTCTCTCTCTCTCTCTTCTCTCTTTCACTTTCTCTCTATCTCCATTGGTAAGATAAAGAGATAAATGGAAAATGTTAGTTCCTTTTTGACCCGAGTAAAAAGTCGGTCATTGGCGTCACGCATTAAGTAAAGCAATGAAGGTGGCCGTTATGGTGCAGATATAACGCGAGGCTGTTCAAGTTAACCTACTTAAATGGTGCTATTTACTGTATCAAAAGCTTTGGACAGGTCAAGAAATATTCCTGTGAATTTATTATCGTCAAACGCATTTCAGATATTATTTGAAAAGTCAGTGATAGCCGATTCAGTAGATCTGTTTCTCATGAAAGCATATTGAGAGTTGTTTATCATATCGCTCTCACTAAAAAAAAAAAAAAAAAAAAAAAAAAAAAAAAAAAAAAAAAAAAAAAAAAAAAAAAAAATAGATGGTTACACATAATCTTTCAATAATCTTACTAAACGTAATAAAAAACTTATAAGTCGGAAGTTTCTAATGTGACATTCCTCTACAGACTTTAACTACTTTTAGTTTATTTGGAAAAATACCCGAGTTAAAGGTTAGTTAGTGGAGTTGAGATAGTTTAAAGCATTTGTTTGAATCAAAGTCATTGGAATTTCATCATAGTCTGGATTCGAGACTTTTTAAGCTGTTAACAATGCTAATTATTTCTGAGTCAGTGCTAGGGTGTAGAGACATCTGATTGTCGTTTCCGGGGCCAAGGTAATCCCTAAATCTGATTGAGTCAGATTTCTCCCGACGCCAGAGAAATATTAATTAAACTCATCTGCTATTGTAACAGAGTAGGGAATTTCACTTCTATTCATATATAGTTCTCTCTCTCTCTCTCTCTCTCTCTCTCTCTCTCTCTCTCTCTCTCTCTCTCTCTCTCTCTCTTTTCTTTTAATTGCTATCGCTGTTCCTATTAAGGATATTGTCCAGAATTGTCCATGTTTTCTTTGGGTCATTTTTGTTTTCATCAAGTCTTCTTGAATAATAATTTCGTTTAGCATCTCTGATGATGCAGTTCAGGCGATTTCTGGTGGTGCGACATTGATCACTATACGTTATTGGCCATTTAGCGAACTCTTTCTGAAGCTTGTTTTTATTTCTTGATTAAAACCTTTTTCTTCTTTTGTAATTTAGGGTCTGTTGAATGATTTTGATTTAATTATTTTTTTGCTCAAGGGGATATTCTTTCGAAGGTGTGAAAATGTAGGTAAAATTATCGTAAACAACCTATTTGCCAAATCCCAGCAGACGTTCATGCAGTGAATTTTAAAGCTCAAGATATGACATTCTGCATAATGTCTGCAATATATAGCTTTTCTATTTGAATTTATATTGTGAGAATCATTCTCAAAAATAGCGTAGATATGGAAACGATCTGATATGTTGCAGTAAAAGATTCCACTATTAACTGTATTAGAAATGCTATTGGTCCATATATGGTCTATGGGGGTAGCAGATTAGTCCATGACTCATGTTAGATTTCTGGCTGTAGTAAATAAAATGATTTAGAATTTGGAATAGATATGAACTCACGAACTTTGCCATCTGACTGCCATACACACATTGCAGGCATTTAAAATAGTCTATACAAAAATTAAATTCGTTTTCTCAAAATCACAGAAAATGTTAAAAACATAATTTTAGGGGTAACTTGAAAAATAAAAGGCAGTTGTTACAAAATGCCAGGTGAATACGCCTGGCATATATCTGTATATTGACCATTCCTACATACATTAAATATCTATAACGAAGGACTAGAATGGTGTAATTCTTTATCATAATAGGACACTACACTGTGGATTCTAACCCTTGGACACCCGTGC